GCATGCTTATTCGCGGATCTTTGTTAATTAAAATCTCAGTAACTATTGCAAATCTAGCAAAATGGTATAGGACTTTTCACCTCAGTTTTATTCCTTCTACCTGCCTACGAGAGATGTTAAACCAATTCTGGGACACCCTGTATATATAAATTTCTTTAAAAAATTGAAAGTACATATGCATATACAGTCGAACCTCCCAAAACATATACAGTCGGATCTATGGTCGGGACCCCGACGAGCCTCCCAAAACATATACTTCCCCTCACTTTTTACCTCACGCATGCGCAAAGACTTACTTGATATAAACTCATCTCGCGCTAGCGCAGTTTCGGTTGTAATGATACTTAGTGGTGGGAAAAGCAATAAAGAAGAAAATATACGTTTTGAGAGTGGATTTGTATACGTTTTGGGAGGTTCGACTGTATACATATTGATCGGTTTAGTTGTTACTTAAATATTGTTCTGAGAAAATCTCCCCACTTCTCAATTGCATGAATTTCGCGTATAAGAGGCACAGTGCTCGCGCAGTTCAAGCGCCACTTCATTGCGCGTGAACTTGGCGCGAGGCACTACTGTGCCTCTTGATATATAATTATGATATATGTATAATTATATTATAGGGTGCTTTCCAACTACGTACACAGGCGACACTGTGTAAAACAGTGTCCATTAGTGTGAGTGAGACACACTGATATGCTTTTTCTCATACTAATGGACACAGTATTACATAGTGTCGCCTGTGTACGTAGTTGGAAAGCACCCATAATATATACAGGATGTCCCTAAACTCACAACCGTTAATTTAAATGACGTATTCTTGAGATAATTTTGCGGCGAAACTTCTAATATCATATTATCGAGATATATTTTTAGAATTCTAAGCGTTTAAAAGTGACTTTTATTAATGACCTATTAGATGGTTTGTATTTTGCGCGCTCAGGTACAGCGCGTGCTGTGCGTGACAGTAGTGTGTTGTTATAGATGCGTTCGCTTTGCGCACTTACGCGTTAGGTCTAGATTTATAGTCGTTTCTTTCAAATCTTATCTGCAATTTCAAGTTTCATCTCTCAGATCTCGAATCTCCAACCTCAAGTTTTAGCGGCTATTCATGAAATTTGATTTTTCATGACTAAGCGAGAGTAGAGACTGACTATTGAAATTTCGAGTAATGGTGACAAATTAAAAATCATAGCTGCAAGAATATTTATAAATATTTGTGATAAATTATCTTTAAGTATTTTATCGTACCTAATTAATGTAATGGAAATTTATAATAACGTATAAATAATGGTCTTCAATTAAAGGCATTATTACATTTAACCTTTATAACATTCAATCAAAGGATGTATATTTTTGTATTCTTTGCTTCTGTTCTAATATTATACGATATAATAATTAATAAAATTAATGATTTAGGTCAACAAATTAACAAACAAGTCGAACATCAGATGTACATCTCGTTATTACCTCCTCCTTATCTTCTTATTGAAACATAACATGAGCACGAAACATATATGTACTTAGATATTTTTCATAGAAATGAGAACATTTTGTACATATGTAGTCCGCCATAAATAACTTAATTCGGCCATTTTAAAGTTTTGAAAATCTGACTTCAAATTCTTTATCAGCAGCTAGCAAAACTCCCAGATACAATTGTAATTGTATCGGACAGATATAAAACTTCGTTATATATATATATATCTTCAAAACATATGGGGTGAAGCTTTACTGAAGTTTGACTACCCACACAGAACAAAAACTCCATTAGATGTCTATTAGACGTTCACAGCTCCATGCGATATCTAATAGATGTCTAATGGATGTCTGGATGGATNGATGTCTGTGTGGGTATGTACTTTAATCGTTCATATCTCGTAAACTAGTAATAGCCTAAACTTGAAAATTTTATGTGATTGTTGTCTCATCGTAAGATTGGCATACAATGTACTCTCAAAATTGCCGAAAATTGAGCTAAAAAATTAACGATTTTGGCGTCCTTCTTTAATAAAAAGCAATAGCATAAATTTTTTTATAGAAGCTGCAACCTTTATCTTTAATTTAATGACTTTTTTACAATTCGGTCAATTTCTTGCAAAATTATGATTTTTAAACAAATTAATACATTTCACTCAAGTTACTTTGTTTATATTAAAAAATTATTTAAACAAATTCATTTTTCCCAAAATGTTTTGATTGATCTGTAAAGTGGTTTAAAGACATTACGTAAATATTTTCAGAATGTTTCTATAACTTTGACATAGAGAAAAGTACAGTGTGATATAAACGACTCTAATTTGCAGATAGAAATACTACTACAGAAAGTACCAAAACCCTTTGCAGTTTGAGGGTTAACGAGATGTAATTAATAAAGGTCCGCGAGTCATCGTCCATTCACGTGCAAAATGACAGCTCAGTGTTTTATGCGCTTACTCTGTAACAACAGAATAAGAGGACCTAATGTAACAGCATATACGTTAATATACATAAAAATCGATAACTATCAACATTTAAACGTTAAAGCATGGACCGCATTTTTCCATCAAAATAAATAAGTCTAATGTCAAGATGTGTCGAAAATGAGTTTGTTTTTAATTTAATTACTTATTTACGGAAAAATAAAGCAAAAAGAAAAATACTAAATTACATATGTGTATCATGTTATGTATATTATATACTATATTATATATTAGCTCTTCTCTGTTGTTACGGCGTGAGCGCGCGAAACACAGAGTTGTCATTACACACGTGGGTGCACGCTTATTGGCAGATTTTTATTAATTAATATTTCGTTGATTATTGCGAATCTTGCAAAGTGGTATAGGACTTTTCGACAGTTTTTTTTTCTCCTTCTACTTGCCTACAAGAAATGTTGAAATAATTGTCGAACTTGTATAATTAAATACATAATATCCCTGAACTTATACGTAATTTACATGACGTTTTTCTAATATCATATTAACTTCTAATATCATATATTCTAATATCATATTATGAGATACTAATATTTTTAGAATTATAAGCGTTTAAAAGTGACCTATTAGACAACGACTATTCCTCAACTAGAATAAAATTATTTTTTTGTGCGGCAGTCTGATGCAGCCGCGCCAAGTTTTTTGCGTTAAATATTGTTTATATTTTGAACAAATATTTTCTTTTGTTACATCTCTATGTTCGAGAAATAAATATAATCTTACCAAAGTACATAGTTATTTACTTAGGATTAGTTATTAATAATTACGGAAAAAAAGTTAAAGCGTAGACTTATTATAGACACAAGTATGTTATTGTAAATTGTATTTCTATTTAATACTGTTTTCTATTGTATATGTTTTCCAATATAGTAACGTACAAAAGTTTACTTAGTGATACTTTTTTATATCGGTTCTTTTGTAAAACAGGTTTTTAAAGAAAGTATGTTTCGTAGTATATAATATAAAAGTTTACTTACAATTAGTGCTACTTCTCGATATCACTTCTTTTGTAAAACAGATTTTTAGAGAAAGAATGTTTTGTAGTATATAATATTTTGTACACCAGATTTTAATAGACAAAAAAAAAAAAGATAGAAATGACAGTTGTTTTAAAAAATTTGTACTGGTAGATTAAGAACTTAAGAATCATTGTGCAAAAGATGAAAGGATTTTTCTATGCAATTAAAGACAAAAATAATTGTTAAAACACCAAAAACAGTGATTCTTAGAATTATGAAGAAAACGTGACAACAGCGCACGTGGCATCAGCTGGTGATTTACTGTGGGTAAGCATAAACATATAAGAAATAGACTGCGCGTTCCCTATCTTCTCTGTGGAGAAGGAATTCAACGTCAGACAACGATAGATGCTTTCACTCGTGTCTCTATCCTTATTTAGTGACGCGATGATTGGCGGACAAGAAAAGTAGTAAAAATGAGAAATAGCGTAGTGGGGCGTCAGAGGAGCACCGAGCGATAAAGGAGTAACAGTAGGCGATTGACAGTCAATAAGTAGTTATAGTATAGATTAATTTCAATCCGTTATTTGTTAAAAATCATTAGTATAAATTTGAAAAAATAATCGTGTAACAATTAAAGTTATTATAAAAAGAAGAAAGAAATAGAAGAAAATATATAATAATAAAGAATATAAAATTAAATTTAACAAATATTATTGATTTTTATGTGCAATAAGTTTGGTAAATTTACTTTGTATGCGATCAGTCTTGACGTTTCGTGAAGTAGCATAATGATGCAAACGAAGAATGACAAATTTTTCTACTAAAAGTCGAACTATTACTGGTTCCTAACAAAATCCGTTACATCCGTTAGCATCTGTAGTTATACAGGGTGATTCAGAACAACCCGTTATCCTTGAAAATACATATTCTTGACTAAATTCTAAGACAACTTTTTATTTGGCAAAATTTTGTCTGAAGCTTACTTTTTGAGTTATTAATAAAAAT